GAAGGAAGGAAGGAAGGAAGGAAGGAAGGAAGGAAGGAAGGAAGGAAAGGAGGAAGGAAGAAAAGGAGAAGGGAGGGAACGAGGGACGAAGGAAGGAGGCTAAGGGAAGAAAGGAAAGGGAGGGAGGGAGGGGGAGGGACGAAGGAAGGAAGGAAAGGAGGAAGGAAGGAAAGGAGAAGGGAGGGAACGAGGGAGGGAGGAAGGAGGCTAAGGGAAGAAAGGAAAGGGAGGGAGGGGGAGGGAGTGGAAAGAAGGAAGAAAAGAAAGAAAAAAGAGGGAGGGAAGAAAAAGAGAGAGGGAGGAGAAGGAAGGGGAAAGGGAGGGGAAAGAATGAAGGAGGAAGGGAGGAAAGGAAAAGAGGAAGGAAAAGGGAAAGGAAAAGGGGAAGGAAGGAAGGCTAAATTATTTTTCTGTGATACTCAATTTGAATGAGAAACTATAAGTAAAAATATGGAAAACTAACTGATAGGGTCCAAGGAATCCCCAAGATACTGTAGTATATTTTCCATTCATAGCTACTATTTCAAATTCCTAGTAAAATCTTAAACCCCAATTCCATGCACCGATCGGTGGCCTACTTGCTTTTTAATAAACTAAACAAGGAGAGGGCTAGTTATCATTTTTTTACACCATCAGGGAAAAACTCATGCACATATAAATTCATTCTGGATAAGGGCAACATTTTTATTGAGAAAAGTATTTGTCAACCATGGCAACTTTGATGGGTTGGACTTCAATCCCGAGAATTTCCCAGGCAGCATGTTTTTAAAAGGCTGAAAAACACTGTTCTAGATTTAAAATAAAAACACTGTGTGAGGACTATGTAGGTCAGTTGGGAAGACAAGGAGATACATAGCAAAGGATCTAGAAGTATTTTCTACTCGTTTTCAAGCTGGATCATTCCAAAGAGTAACCAAGTTGTTACTACTACACAACACACTCTAAATATTTAGCGTAGGGGTCCCCAAACTTGGCAACTTTAAGACTTGTGGATGGGTAATTGCTGGCTGGCTGAAGAATTCTGGGAGTTGAAGTCTTAAAGTTGCTAAGTTTGGAGACTGCTGGTTTAGCATTGTTTGAACGTTCTGATGTGAGAGTTAGCTGGATCTATTTGTTGATGGCGCCAAGCTAGAAAACAGGAGACTGTGATTCTAATCCTGCTTTAGGCATGAAAACCAGCTGGGTGACTTTGGGCCAGTCCCAATCTCAGCCAAACCCACCTCACAGGGTTGTTATGGTGAAAAACAGAAGGAAGGAAGGAGTATTAGGTATGCTCGCCACATTGAGTTATTTGCAGAAATAATAAAGGTAAGATTTAAATAAATATAAAGATGAAGAGCTCCGGTAAGCAAGCCAAGCGTTTTTCGAGACAAACCAAGGATCCAGCTGCCCCTTCAGCAAACTTTCCTGGGGAGTCCTTGGTCCTCTGAGTTTGGTTGTTTTCTTGCAGATGTTTCATTACCCAACTAGGTAACATTAACAGTATGAAGGATGCACACACCCTCACACTGATGATATTACCTAGCTGGGTAATGAAACATTTGCAGGAAAATAACCGAGCTCAGATAGCATCAAGGACCCCACAATCATCTTTGTCATTCTCTTCCTTCTCTCTGTACCTCCACTTCCTTCTAGCACTGATGATGTTACCTAGTTGGATAATGAAACATCTGCAAGAAAACAATCAAGCTCAGAGACCACCAAGGACCCCACAATCCCCCTCCTCTTCTCTACAAACCCACTTCCTTACAGCACTGATCATGTTACCTCATTGGGTAACGAAATGTCTGCAAGAAAGCAACCAAGCTCAGAGAGCACCAAGGACCCCACAGTCCTCTTCTCCTTCTCCTCCCCTCCCCTCTCCTCCCCTTCCCCTCCTCCTCCTCTTCTCTACAAACTCCACTTCCTTCTAGCACTGATCATGTTACCTAGTTGGGTAATGAAACGTCTGCAAGAAAACAGCCAAACTCAGGGAGCATGAAGGACCTCATAGTTCAATCCTGGGCTACAGAGATTCTCTTCCAAAGGTTTAAGGTAGTCTTTTGTCCATGAACACAGAACTCACGTTTGGTCATTATTTCTACTTAAACCCACATATATCAGGCCTAGTTTAGTTGGTGAGGACTTTAAACACATTTCCTGAAATTACTGTACTTACAGTATACCAGTTTCGCCCTATGACCAGAAATATACTGAATTCCACAATCGATGAGCTCCAGGTTTGCATAAATTGCATGCAGTAATCTTTAATTTAAGGCCGTTGCTTGACTATCGGTTTACTGTAAAGTAGGGATAGCCAAGCTTGGCAACTTTGGAGACCTGTGGACTTCAATTCCCAGAATTCCCCAGCTAGCCAGCAAATTACCCATGCTGGCTAGGGAATTATGGGAGTTGAAGTCCACACATCTCCAAAGTTGTCAAGCTTGAATGGACACCGCTGCTCTAAAGGATAATTCTCAGAGTTATTACATGTTAGAGGAGCGAAACCTTTTGGGGGGGGCTCATCCCCTCCACCTTGTTTCTTTATATCTCCCGTTTCTCGCTTCCCCTCAACCACGGAGTGAGAAATAATCAAGGGATTGTGCAAACATGCATCCTTCGGGAACAAGCAAGATTTCTTAGAACCAGGCTTGGAATGATGGTTCCTCTCTCTGAAGTTTGAACATGTAGCTAACTGCCGAACGGCCCTTCTACCTGCACAAGGAAAACGGGGGATACCAACTACAAAAGGGAACATTTCTCTGTTGGCTGCTAAAGCGCACTCCTAAGGGGAGGAAGAGGCTGGAAGAGGGAGAATACGGAAGAGAGGGATGGGGGAAGCAAGGATAGCAGAGCAGAAGAAGAGGTGGAGCAGGATGAGGGATGTTTGTAAGACCGGGAAGTCCCCAGGGACACCTCTTGGTAGGTGGAGGAAGATAAGGAGGCCAGGATGGATGGGGAAAAGAGGAGAAAAACTGGAAGCCAAAGCAGAAATGAACCATTGATGGAGATCTGCAAAAGGAGGGGAAAGAGGGAGGGAGGGAGGGAGGGAGGGAGGGAAGGAAGGAAGGAAGGAAGGAAGGAAGGAAGGAAGGAAGGAAGGAAGGAAGGAAGGAAGGAAGGAAGGAA